AGCTGGGAGCTGGGCGGAGAGGTGGCTGGTAGTTTACGGGCAGATAGCTGTGCGGCTAGCTGTAGCTAGCTGGCGAGGGCTCTGGGGAGCCTTGTGGAGCTGGACGGGCAGCTAGCTAGCTGGCTAGCTAGCTAGCTAGTTGACTAGCTAGCTGGCTGGGTTGGGTAGCTGGATGGGTAGACAGCCAGCTAGCGGGACGGACAGAGAGACTGGTCGATCCATAGCTAGCTAGCTGCATCAGCCGGTAGCTAGCTCGATGAATCACCAGCTAGCTAGCCAGCTAGCTAGCTAGCCAGCTAGCTAGCCAGCTAGCTGGAGCGCACCAGCCCATACCCCCCTTCCCAGCACGCACAGCACCACCCACACCATCCCGCGCAGCACCCCCCGCAGCAGCAGCAGCAGCAGCAGCAGCAGCAGCAGCAGCAGCGGGAGTTGCGTGTGGACGCAGGCCCTTGGACTTCTCGGCGATAAACCTGGCGCAGAACGCAACGAACTTGTACTGGAACTTGAGCCGCTTCGACAAGGGGGGCTGCGTGGAAGCAGCACTTCAAGCTTTGTGTCCGTCTTGCGTGTCTGCGTTGAAGCGGCGGCGGCAGTGCAGCAGCAGCAGCAGCAGCAGCAGCAGCAGCAGCAGCGGCGGCGAGCGCGCGGGGAAGCGCGCGCGCGCCGCGCAGCAGCTGCAGCTGCGCAGGCAGCACGAGGCCAACCGCTTCTTCGAGTTCATGCAGGCGGAGTTTTTGAGAAGAAGTGAAAAACTGAAAAAGAGAAAAGAACAATTAAAAGAAGTTTTGAAACAAAACAAAAAAACCCGCATGCAAGGAGTTCCTGACGGCGACGGCGACGCCCTCGTCGACGCCTTCATCGACCGCGAAACGGGACTCTTCAAGTCCGAAACCCTAAACCCTAAACCCTAAACCCTGAGTCGCCTCGAGAGAATTCACCTGCCGGGTTCGACCGAGGGCTCTGCGCCCGGAAGTCCGAGCTTCTAATTGCTAAACGCTGAACCCTAAACACTAAACCCTAAACCCTAAACACTGGATTGTAGACAGTCTATTCGCTGCACGGGGTGTTTCTGAGGGTTTTCGAGGGTTTAGAGGTTCCAGGGTTTACAGAGGGGGTTTGTGGTTTTGGTTTTATAGTTTTCCACTTCCTCCAGCATTTGCGAGGATTTATTTATTTTCAAGGGTTTACACAGGTGCTGCTACCTGTGCCCTTTACTTTTTGGTTTAGGGTTTAGGGTTTAGCGTTTGCAGGAGGGCGCTTTCTTTAATCTCTCAGCGTCAAAATGCTTGTATTTAGGGTTTACTTAGGGTTTAGTAGGGGTTTGTCGAGGTAGAAGTCCACCACCTGGGTGCTCGGGAAGGGCTGATTAGCGTTTAGGGTTTGCGAGGGTTTAGGGTTTAGGGTTTAGGGTTTAGGGTTTGCAGGCGGGCCTTTTCGCTGGTCTCGGGCCCTCGGCGGCGTTTGCTATACACTTATTGGCTAGGGCGTAGCGCGTGGTAGTGTGGGCGTGGGGAAGGCGGGCCAGGGTTTAGGGTTTGCGAGGGTCTAGGGTTTAGGGTTTAGGGTTTAGGGTTTGCAGGCGGGCCTTTTCGCTGGTCTCGGGCCCTCAGCGGCGTTTGCTATACACTTATTGGCTAGGGCGTAGCGCGTGGTAGTGTGGGCGTGGGGAAGGCGGGCCAGGGTTTAGGGTTTGCGAGGGTCTAGGGTTTAGGGTTTAGGGTTTAGGGTTTGCAGGCGGGCCTTTTCGCTGGTCTCGGGCCCTCAGCGGCGTTTGCTATACATTTATTGTCTTCGCCAAAACCACCACGCGAATGTGCGTCTGGCGAAGGTCCCGGGCAAGGGGCGTGCAGTGTTCGCTGCAGATCTCATCTCCAAAGACGACTTTGTTTTGGGTAAAGCTGCGTCTTTTTTTGCTCTTTTCCCTTCGTTTTTGGATCCTTTTAAAGTCCAGGTTGTTCTCTATTTAATGGTGTTTGTTTTAATCTTTTATTCGCTTTATTTCGACATGAAAATCGTCTTTTTGTGTCATGTACTCGGCTAGCGGCGCGCAGTCTTTGCTGCAGATCTCACATCCAAAGATGACTTTGTTTTCGGCAAAATGGACCTTCTTTTAATTCTTTTTTCGCTCTTTTTGGACTTTTGTGGAGTGGAGATTATGCTCTTTGTAGTGGTCTTTGATTCAAGTTTTTATTTGTTTCATTTCGATGTCAAAAACACCTTTCTATGTTGAATCTCTGGCAAGGCGCGCGCAGTCTTTGCTGCAGATTTTGTGTCCATTGGTCACTTTGTTTTGGATTAAATTTGCTTCGTTTTGCTTCTTTTTTCTCCTATTTTGAGGATTTATGAACTCCAAATCATTCTCAATTTAATGGTATTTGTTTAAGTTTTTTATTTCATTTAAGAGGACACCAAAAGCACCTTTTTGTGCTATTTCCTTCGACAAATCCGCGCGGTCTTAATCTCCAAAGATGGCTTTTTTTCAGTGAAAGTGGTTCTTTTTTTTTCTGGAAGAATATTTAGAGGAAATTAAACCGTTTTTGGTGGTTTTTGATTTCGAAAGTTTCTCTATTTAATTGTCGGTCAAAAAAGCTTTTTATTTTTCGTTTTCTCGTTCAATTGGCTTTCAAAAAAGCTTTTTATTTTTCATTTATGTCTTAAAGAGGCCCCCGGCGTTTTGCTGCAGCGCTGAATTTGAAGATGGTTTTATTTTCGTGAAATTAATTTTTTAAGATTTCTTTTTATTTTAATTTCTTTTAATTTACTTTAAATTCTTTTTATTCATTTTTATTTATTTTTAATTCATTTCAATTCTTTTTATTTCTTTTTATGACTATTAAATTCGAATTCCACTCTTTTTGAGGCTTTTAAATCATATTTTAACGTCTTAAAATAATTTTAATCAAAAACATTTTAAATCTTTTCTTCTTTTCTTTTTAATTTTATTATTTTCTTCTTTTTGATACTTCTCTTTGAATAAAAGTATTTTCTCTATAAAACTTTAAATCAAAAATACTTTTTTCATTTATAGTTTTTGATGTTTATTGTTTTCAGAGTTGGTTATTTGAAAGTTTATTTCTCGCAAACTTATTTTGTGATTTCTTCTTCAATTATTTTCTCTTAATTAATTTCTGTTTGTAATTATGTTTTAGAGTTGTTTTCCTTTATTATCATTTTCTTTTAATTATTTTCTTTTAATTGTTTTCTTTTTGTGTTCTTAATCTTAATTTTCAAATTTTAATTTTAAAAAATGTTTTTTATTTTCATTTTTTGTTTTTAGAATATAAAGGAGAACTTTGTTCTGAAAGAGAAGCCAGAGAAAGAGACATTCGCTACGACAGGTCTCGCTGTTCCAAGGGGTAGGCCCACGAGGATTTAGGGTTTAGGGTTTAGGGTTTAGGGTTTGGGGGCTCAGGAGGGTTTAGGGTCTAGGGCTTAGGGTTTGGGGCTGCGTTGCTAGGGTGGGGCCGCCTCAGGTTGAGGGTTTGCGGCGAGGCGCGACGCTTGCGGGCCCAGGGTTTAGGGTTTAGGGTTTAGGGTTTAGGGTTTAGGGTTAAGGGTTTTGTTTGCAGGAGCTTTATGTTTTATTTTAAATATAAAGATAGACAAATGAGCATCGACGCCACAGATGAGAGACTGGAGTTCGGCCCCGCCCGCCTCATCAACCACTCCAGGAAAAACCCTAATCTCAAGCCCAAGGTGAGGGTTTAGGGTTTAGGGTTTAGGGTTTAGGGTTTAGGGTTTCGGGTTTGGGGACTGCAGCGGCGAGGCCAAAGAGAAGGCACACAAAAACGCATGCAGGAGAGAAGCAGAGATACAACTGCTTCTGAATGTCTTCATTTATTTTTAAATAATTTATTATTTATTACCCTAAACCCTAAACCCTAAACCCTTAAATTATTATGTTAATTGAATTGATTTAATTTAATTAATTAAATTAATTTGTTTGCAGGCGGAGGCTCTCGACGGAGACTCCAACGACTTGCGGCTTTTCTTCGTGGCTCTCAGAGACATCCACGAGTGCGTCGCAAACCCTAAACCCTAAACCCTAAACCCTCAACCCTTTCTCGCGCCGCAGCCCCAGCTCCTGCGGAAACCCCAAACCCTCGTAATCCCGATCTCGGGGGCTAGATGAGAGCCTCAAGCTTTGTTCGGCTGCCAGGGGCAGTCTAGGGTTTAGGGTTTAAGGTTTAGGGTTTAGGGTTTAGGGTTTAGGTGTGCTGTGTGTATAGGGGTGAGGAGCTGCTGGTGGACTACGGCGAAAGAGACCCAGAGGCCCTAAAGCAGAATCCGTGGCTCAACGAGTAGCTGTTGCTGCTGCACTTGCTGCTGCTGCTGCTGCTGCTGCAGTGGCCGCTGATGCAGTGGCTGCTGCTTCACTTTGCTGCTGCTGCTGCTGCAGCGGCAAGAGTAACAGAAGCAGCTAGAGCAAGTGCGCCGTAGCACTACCATTTCGAGCAGCAGCGGCAGGCGCTGCAGCAGCAGGCGCTGCTGCAGCAGCAGGCGCTGCAGCAGCAGCAGCTGCTGCAGCAGCAGCCGCAGAAGTGCGTGCTGCAGAGGGAAGTGGATGTACACCCCGAATTTGGCTTAGCAACTCTGGCTCCAGCAGCCTCAATAAGAAAAGGGAGACACAGCAGCAGCAAAAGGAGACACAGCAGCAGCAAAAGGCGACACAGCAGCAGCAAAACAGCCACAGCAGCAGCAAAAAGAGACACAGCAGCAGCAAAAGGAGGCACAGCAGCAGCAAAAAGAGACAAATGAGCGGAGACACTAGAGAACGACTTAGAGACAAATGTAGACGGGCAGATAGCACTGCGAGACGGCGAACAGCAGCAGCAGCTGCTGCAGCTGCAGCAGCAGCAGCAGCGACTTCAGCTCCCCACAGCTGCCGAGCTGCGCCTGAGTGGCTGCGCATATGGGGAACTTGCTGCAGCTGGCCGCTGCTACGTAGCTAGCTAGCTAGACACTTATGTAGATAAAGAGCTAGCTAGCTGCAGCTAATTCGCTAGCTATCCAGCTAGCTAGCCAGCTAGCTGCAGCTAGCTGGGCCAAAGCCCGCTGGGGGCAGTGAGCTCTTCGGTCTATGAAGCATTGGGGCAGCTAGCCAGGAGATGCAGACATGGGCAGCAGCTAGCTAGCCAGGTCTAGCTAGCTGGCTAGCTAGCTGCTTCGCTGGCTAGCCAGCTAGCTAGCTAGCTAGCTAGCTAGCTATCCCGCCAGATCTAGACGACAGGCTGGCTAGCTGGCCAGCTAGCCAGCTAGCTAGCTAGCTAACTTGGTCGCTAGCTAGCCTGGCCTATGAAGAGAGCTAACTCGTCAGCCAGCTGCCCAGACTTGCTGCTGCGTGGCTAGCTGGTGGTGAGCTGCTAGCTAGCTAGCAGCAGATGCTGCTGCTGCTAGTTAGCTAGCCAGCAGCAAGTGCCGCAGCCGCAGACAGTGCTGCTGCTGCACCTCCCCACAATCAGTCTAAAGCAGCAAATTAATTAAAGGCAGCAGCAAGAGCCCAAAGCCCCAAAGTGGAAGCCCCAAAGCCCCAAGGCCGCATGCATGCGACGGCTATCTCGCAGCAGCAGCAGCAGCAGCGCAACAAAAGCAGCAGCAGCTGCTGCCTCGCCGCAGTTTTGCTGTTTTGTACTCACAGAAACGCCGCAGCAGCAGCTCAGGCTGGGCAGCAGCGGCCGCGGAGGCACGACTGACTACAGCAGCAGCGGGCGCAGCTGCTGCTGCTGCTGCAGCAGCAGCTGCTGCTGCTGCTGCCATGCTGCCGCAGCAGCGCACTGGGGCTGTTCGAGTCGGAGTGTACTTGTCGCAGGCCCTTTACTTTTCAGGAGACACTCTGCGTTGTCTCCTGACACTGGAGAATGCAGCAGCAGCAGCAGCAGCAGCACCCCCAGCAGCAGCAGCAGCAGCAGCAGCAGATTGTGGGGCTGGTTGCGAGATTGATGCTGTGATCGTGCAGCTTTGTGGGGTGCTGACGTGCGCGCGGAAAGCAGCAGCAGG